CGTTCTGCACTTTGCGCGATTTGTACTTTGAGACTGTGCGTCAGAGGTTAGAGCATTTGACGGCAACCTTCGTAACGGACTAATACCGAAATTTACAGGGCTAGAAAAATAAAGAGGAGTTTTTTCCTTCGAATGGCTATCACCTGAAGGATCAAGCAAAACTTGAAAAAATGCTAACAAGGCAAAAAGCTCGAAGTAGTTCGCAAAATGGAGAGCTTAGGCAAGATCACCGGAAACTACTGAAGTGGATATTGAGTCCCTTGGCCAGGAGATTGAAAGCATCACATCTAAAGGAGCAGTCACCGATCAAAAAAGCCGTCAACTTTGAGTAGTAATTCCTACCAGAATTTAAAATTAAATGGTGTGAAGCACCAGTCTCCAAACTAAGACGTAATTATTTACTATACTGACAGCAGATCGGCGAAGCATTTAAGTTCGGACTTTTTGCTGGTACTTATGCTGTCAGCATGATAAATAGTTACGTTTAGTCCGCTGGCAGCTTGTGATTATTACGCAATTATTCCACAGCGGCTGATTGACTTCAACTCAAATATTCGGGCCGAGCTCGAAAAGGTTAGTTCCGAAGGAATTACTCCAAGTCCGCGCATTAACTTCTCCAGAAGTTAAACAAGGCAAGACAAATACCCCGTTCATACGTGCTCGGAAAGGTAGTAGTATCTGTCTAATTATAACCTACGAGGGCATTCGCATCCGGCCGATATTTTGTGACAATCATTTGATCGATTGCCAGTGAGCAGGGACTTTCAGATATTGGGCATATCGATCGTGAAGGCTACTTGGGAAGCAAAGGCACAGTATGGGCGCAATCACATGAACTAATGGCAAGCAATAAATGCATGAAAAGTTGAATTTCGTCACGATTCCACAAAAAAACACCGACCTGGACAGTGTGCTTGACCAGGGTATAACGTAATCTCAACATGTGACTCCCTTTTTCTAATCAAGGAGCGTGGGAGCGGATTGCCGTGTTGTAGTTGAAGGATCAACAGAATGTTCTGGAGGTGACTTAGTCTGTGATTTGGGGTGACTGAGGCTCGATAAACGGACGTGGGTTGGATAGTTTAATCATCATTAGTCAGAAGATTGACGCCAACCAGGAGAAAACAATACCAGAGGAAAGCGCTTTCGATTGACCAATGCTATGTCAGGATACACTCCAAATGATGACTGTGCTTCGACTTATTGCACCTTAAATTTTCTCCAAAAGTAAACTAAAATTGATAATTGTTCAACAAGGCGCTCGTGGTGGTAACGGGGTAAACAGATGGGGAAGGGATAAAAGTTCGCAAAAATGCTTAGGAGGCGAAAGCAGAATCAACCTCCACACACAAACCTGAATGTCTTTCAGCAGATTAGTCTTTTCAAGTTCTAACTGCCTCATCATAGCCTCCACTTCACCAATAAGTCGGTCGATCTGGGCACCGATACGTTTGACCGCCTTCGCCTCCTTTGCTTTGGCAGCCTTCTTTGCCTTGCTTTCAGGCTCTTCGACTGGCTTGGTGGTTTCGGGGGCGGCTAA